AAAAAGTTTTAATTTAAAAAACTATTTATATTTATGGTTAATTGTTGTACATGTTATAGGTACTTCTTGGAAAATAATATGTTCAATTACTTTCTACATATCTTGAATCAGAAATGTGGAAATTATGTCTGTGTACAATTGCTTCAAACACTGAATATTATATTTGAAAATATTAAAAATAAGACTGCATTATGTGAGGGTTAATTTAAATCATTATTTTTTGTAATAAACCTATAATATTTTTATTTTATTTCTAGATTATTTACTAAGCAATAACCATGTTAATAGCATAATAATAAATAAGCTGGATTTCTCTGATGAAGATGTTTTAGCTTACTATATATCTTTTTTAAAAACATTATCTTTTAAACTAAATTTAAACACCATTCATTTTTTCTATAATGAGGTAATACAATTTATTTAAAAATTCAACAATTTTTAATCCTAATTTATATTTTTATTTATTACTCAGACAACCAACGATTTTCCTCTTTATACAGAAGCAATTAAGTTTTTTAACCATCCTGATTCTATGGTACGTACATACGTTCGTACATTGACACTTAATGTTTACAGAGTTGAAGATGAAAGCATGTTACGATTTATCAGAGATAAAACTTGTGCTCCGTATTTTGGGAACTTAGTTTGGTTTATGGGTAAACACGTTTTAGAATTAGATGCAAGTGCAAGAGCTAAACCAATTGATGTTGATACACAAAAAAATATACAGTTAGTTAATTTTTAATATTTAATACTTTATAAAGTTCTCTTGATAACAAATATTTTTTGTCTTTAGAGATCAGTATAGAGTAAAACTTGCAGATCTTGTGAGTTCTCATCTAGACGATTTACATTATTTGAATGATATTTTAAGCTCAAAGGTTGATATGTTAAATGAAGTGCTTGTTGATCATTTAATGGATAAACTGTTTGTGCCTTATTATATTCATTCATTAGCACCACCAGACAAATACATTATTGTTGAAACAGAAGAGGTTAATAAAAGTTATTTAAATATCTAAAGACATTAAATGTTATATTTGTTTTAAAGTATCACATAATTAATTTGAATTACTTATATAGTTTGTAGATGCTGTGAAACAACAACCATTGATGAATAGTGATATATGTTTATTTTTACTAACACAAGTTTTTTTAATTATTCATCAGACTAAATTAGTTACACCATTAGCTAAATATTTATTGGAAAGCAATTTTTCTGCAAAAAATCAAGTAGCTTTTAAATGTTTTTTTACTATTGAAAATTTAATTCATTTCCCATATACTATAAATATATTTTTTTTGCTTAGATTTCCGAAGAAACTAAATTACAAGATGAAATATCAGTATTACCAGAAAAAGAAGATAATGAATCAACTGATGTCTTTGATCTCAAATCATTAACATGCATGAACATTACAGACGAAGAAAAAGAAATACTTTTATCAAAAAATGACGGTAATTTTAATTATCTTCTTCTTTTTTTCCACCTTTCGCTCTCTTTTATATGGGATCAGCCATCTTTGTCCTGTACCTCCTATGGCTTTGAACTTCAACTCTCCTTTATGCACAAGTCACAACAGTTATTTTTATTCAGTCTATCCGTTACTTCTTTGGTATTTCTTTCCCTCTCTTTACTTTTGCATTTAATTACTTGTCGACTAATTTAAAATAATATATTTTGATTTAATTTATAATAAATTTTTTTAGGTGATTCTGTACATTGTCGGTGTTTAGAATCTATATTCAGCCAATTGATAATTGAAAAATCTGACAGCTCTGCATTGTTTGGTGTATGTTTATTATATGCTATATCAGAAAATTCAAGTCTTTCTAAAGAGTATTATGAAGGATTTTTAACTCCCATCAAAAGTGAAAATAGTTCTTCTTTTGTTCACTGCGATGAAAGAAATGAACTTATAGATAAGCTAGTTAACATTATTACAGCTGCGTCTGAACCTGGTATGTGATCCAAACAATTAAATATATTTGTAAATTTACTAACTTTTTTTCTAGTTTGTTATGTACGCTCAGTTACATTACAAATGGCCATAACATTACTGAAAAAATTAACGATTCACGAGGAACAGGTATTCATATCAGACAGACATATCGCTATTATTCTTAATGCAAAAGAAAAGATTTTACCACTTCTTAGACAATTTTTTAAAGTAAGCACAGTACTGTCAAATATATTTATTTATAATTAAAATTGTGAAAGAAAATAATGAAGTTATTTGTTTTACAGAAAGAAGAAATGTTTTTAGAATTGTTTGAAGATGAATACAATGAAATGCACAAGGAGATACTTAATGTTCAAAGACTCTTAAGTGATTCCACATTATTACTACCGCCAGCACATTCTCCCATGACAGGAATACCACTGTCAAAACGTTTACCGTGTGGAGATGTATGTACCATCTTAATTTTAACTTATTTTGAAAATTATTTAAATGTATTTACAATCCCAATTCATTCAAATATATAATGTAAATTAATTATTTGCAGTTATTTTATCATTATAATTAAATTATTTAAATAATTAAAAAATAATAATAACTCAACTAAACTACATATTATAACAATAATATGTTTTATTATTTATTAGGTTGAAAGAACAAGACATTTTATCTGTGCTTTTCTTAATATACGCAAGTTGTTAATGACATTTGAAGGGAAAGAAGAAACACAATTACCTTTAGTTGATAGAACTAAGTGTTTTGTATTTGATACTCCGATCAACTTGAGTAAGAGAATTTTAATTAACAAATATATTTATACTATACTCAATTCAGAATGAGATCGTACCTCGGCAGCCGACTTCTGTACCTGGACGTGGCTTGTTCCACAGTGAAAGTCTCACAAGCTGCCTAGATGGGGGAAGCGCCTGACCATGATTGGACGAAAACTGGTCTCCGCCGAGGTACAATCTCATTCTGAATAGAGCATAGATAAATGTTCAACACAATGCAATCTGATCTGTTGGTCTATTTGAATTTTGGGAGAAAAAATTAGTGGTGTTACCTATAATATTTACCACTAACTATAAAAAAATAATATTGTATAGAGTTAGTAATTAATTACTTCGGAATATTGCATGTTATACAACTGATATAAACACAGGTTATAATATGGCTTCTTTAAAAGGTTTGCCTGTTTTGGAAAGGCCAAAGCCCAGATACCTGTTAGTGATAAAGTTAATAATTGGATTTAATTAAAATTTTAACTTAGTACTAATATACTTTATATTATATTAAAAATCAATCAACTTAATCATGTTTGTATCAATTTTAAAATAACATTTAAGTTCAAACTAAAGTATCAAAATAAAGTTTAGTATAAATAAAAGATTTTTACTATTCTGTCACAGATAATTGCCTAATGAATCAGTCACTTCAGAATTAGTATGGAATATTGTGATTGGTGAAAATGTTGAATTCATCTCACTAACTCAATGCACATTAATCAATTTATTTGCTATTCAAAAATCTAATTCATATTTTTTTATTTTAGATGGTAATGATTTAATAACTTGTATGATAATTGCTGAAAATGGTGCTAAAACAAGACGGTATCTATCAATCATTAGTAGCCAATTAGTACTAGTTGAGCCACATAGTCGTTTCCTTGGTTGGGGTGTATGCAAATTATCTTGTTATCTTCATGATGCTGAAGTAAAAGCTAAAATATTTTTTTAATATTCTTTAAAAAATATATATTATTATAAACCTAATATTTAGGTTACCAAAATTGACAACGAAACAAAAACTTTGCACATTACTATGCATGATACAAAGTATAAAATTACAAACACAGTGAAGTTAATTTTTGATGATCATATTAGATGCAATGCAGCAAGACAAAAGTAACATATTATCTATTTCCTAGTATTAATTTAATACTAATATGAATTTTTTTGTTTTCAAATGGTGAATTTAATTATATCTAGATTATTGAATGGTCGGATTAAAGCAAGAAGAAAACAGCTTAATCAAATAGCAAGTTTATTAGAGATGACGAGCTGTGAAACAAATTATGCACCATGTAATAATACCCTAAAACAAAGTTGGTGTAAATCTTATATATTTTATATTTTTTTTTGTTGATTTTATAACTTTTATTTAGAACATAATCTAAGAAGCCACTTCACTGATGTTGCAATACATACGTCTAATGTGATTATGCCATGTCCTATTTCTATGAGATCTATTAATAGTAAATTAAAAAAACATTTTTAAATCTGTACACATTTTATAGTAAAAATATTAATTATTTAGGTGATGAATGTAGTGCAGAATCAAATTGTAGCAGTGTGACACACTCTAGAGACCAATCACCTTGCATGAAAAACATAAATAATCCAGAATGTTCCAACTCTCAAAAGGTATAAACATATGTAGTTTCAGTTTAAATAATAATGTTCACAATTATTGTTACTCAATATATTTTTCTCCTGATAGACGTCTTCTTTAGCTCAATGTCAAGAGAAAACGGAACCGAAGCGAAAAGGAAGGGTAGAAAATGTTTAAAATGTATATTAAACTTTGATGTTTTACCTATTTGAATGAGCAAAAACACAGTAACACCACTGTTTCTCATTTTGAAAAAGTACATCTATTAACTTTTAACTGAGTGTTATGACTAATGCATATTGAGTGATGACCTAAGTATCAGTAAATTATTCATAAATATAGTCTGATGATTATTTTGGGATAAAATATTTTTTCATATTTAAAATTGTCGATGTTTTTATTGTTACCATTTTCTTGTTATTTATTTATCATAATTTTCTATACTAGGGATATATAGTATTAATTTTTGTTGATTTGTCTTTCTTCAACTGTACAACTACATACATATTTTATAATAAATGCTCAACACTTTAATTTATGTATAAAAAGTTAACCGTTTTTTATATTTATTAAACATTGTTTTATTTATTATTTATTTTAAAATTGTTTAAGATAGCAAAAAGATGGTTGTTTCATAAAACAAAACTACATATTTTAGATCTTGACATTATATAAATAGATATATAGTGTGTAACGGTCAACAATAAAGTACATAATGAACTAGAAACCGTATTTGTGATGAATCGATTGAAAATAATATCAATATGTACTATGTACATTTTTATTAACGTAGCTGATTTTTATGTTAATTAATTAGTGTTAATATAAACCATTATTAGTATTTTTAACCATTGAATAAACAAAAAGGTATTATTATTGTACTTCAGATTACATTGACATTTATGTATGATTTATGAAATACTAAAATAGAATTGTGAATATTACTACGCCACAGCGTAAGATAATTTTTAGATCAGAATAACTTAACTTATTTGATTTATTTCTTATGCTTGGCAAAATAATTATTAGGTACTACTTCGTTAATATAATATCCAATAGGCAATGTTATGAAACCGTGGTTCCAACACAAATAAATTTAACAAACGACTAGGTTTTTAATTATTTAGGCTTTATCACTGGTTTTAACTTTTACTAATTGTACAAAAAATATAAAATGCTCTTCTTAAACACACGTTATGTATAATGCCCTGTGGAAATACGACTGAGAACATACTATAATAGAAAATTATTCAGGGGTTTACAACAGTAATAAATAAACTAACATTACTTCATTTGCTTCTTTCACTTCACTTCATTGCAAGGGTAATAAAGAATAAAAACATAAAAATAATTGAGTACATTTAAAGTTACAACATGTTATATAATATGTACTTATAAGTTATTTTTATTTTATATTTTCGATTTGTGAATATTTCAGTTCATTCATTTTAGTTTTTTCTATCTTACTAACGCAAGGATTATCGCGAATATAATATCTAAGGAATTTATCTTGCCACATTTTTTCACATTTAATACCTATTCTTGGCGAACAAACGATTGTGTCGATTAACTTACTATTTTCATCTTCTTCTACCCACATTCCATCCCATGAAGTCAAATCTTGTTTATTACAAGATTTTATATCAATAGCAAAGCTTATACATAACTTTGCAGGGCCATTGCATAAATCTTTATTAGTCATCACTGTTTTTGAACATTTTCTAAATTGTTTTCGTAGAGATGTCATAGTGTTCAAATTATCCAAAGGTTCTACCGCCCTTAACAAAACGGAAGCACCGTCTCCTATCAAGATAAAACAGTTTTAATTTTTGATCAATGTGGTTGGTACAATGTAATAACTAATAATATACCTTTGCTAGAAATATTAAAGCAATGGTACATTCCATATGTCATATAAACAAAAGCTGTTCCTGGTTTCATAAACATAGGTTCATTTCGAGGTGTAACTTTTCCTTTAAATGATAGAGAAGCAGCATCATCATGGCCCAGATAGCTTTCTGTTTCAACAATCCTACCCCTAATAATGGGACCATCATCCAGTCGTCTGACAAGTACTTTGCCCAATAAACTCATGGCCAATTCTTCACACGGTGTTTCGTAAAACTGAGCATTCAATCGTTTCCTGTATAAAACCGGAGTGGAATTGAAGTATTCAGAATCACTCTGATCGTTTTTAGACATGGTTTAAAAATCTTTTTTCTACCTAATCATTACATAAAAAAGTTGAATGTTGTTTAAAAGTAATAATTATAATAAATAGTATTGCTTGTTTACTTGATGTAACTTATTATATAGGTAAACATTTGTTTTGTCTTAGTATAAAATAATAATTATTGGTTTGTACTTTGTATACCTAATACTAATAATAGACATTTAATAAATAAAATTGGGTTATATTAACTAGCGTACAGTCGGTGCAGATAAATTAATAAAAAACATGCAAAAATGAAAATTTAAAAAATATTTATCACAAACGACTACTGAGTAACGGCACAAATACAGAATATCCCCCCCCCCATCATTTAAAGTATATTCACAACCCTTGAGAATAATATTATATAGAGAGGCCATATCGTATCTACCTATGCAATAATTTTGAAGGGAAAGGTGGACAACCGGGGTGACCACTACATTAATATAAAATTATCAAACACAGTTTTGTAATAATTTGTGACAGATCTTTAAAGCAATATTTTCCCGCGATTTATTCTCCGCATGACATGTACAGTCATACAAACTTAATAACATAACTGACAATTTGTTTTTATTATTTGGTCACCATGTATCTCCTCTCATCTGCTTGCTTCATTTTAGTTAATTTAAAGCTAATAGCCAATAGGTGCTGCAAAATGTAAATGGTTTAACAGTATTTTTGTAAATGTTGCTAAATTTACAAGCAAATTTAGCCATAGCATAGAACAATAGATAAGTTAAGTATATCGCATAAGCCATAGATAAGTCTTATGGCCACCAGTTGTCACAACCACAGAATTATTCTGTGTCCACAGCATAGACCTATAAACAAGTTTATAGGTTTACGGTCCACAGATATAGATTGATAATCTTATCGTCTATGAACTTGTATCTGTGCCACAGTCTTTTAGAAGATTATCTTTTTAGATAGTTTTCTGTGCCCTAGACATATAATAATCCGTTATATGTCTATGTTTCTGTGCTATTATCAAATATACTAATCTATTCTGTAATAATGACTGATCCCCATCAGGCCTATTGGGGTGCGAATGCCATACTACAATGTTAAAAGATAGATTGATCATTGATAATTGCGGTGCGCCGTAACTCCGCACGGATCGTCGCCATTTTATAATATATCACCTTAACTCCGCATACAAGGTTTTTTTTCGACACCTTAACTCCGCATACGAAGTTTTTTTTAAACACCCTAACTCCGCATAAAAGATTTTTTTTGACACTGTAACTCCGCACATATTTTTTTTAATGTTTAAAATATACAAAATACAATACATATTATTAAAGTTAAATAAAAATAATATTAGACTGCAGGTAATACTAGGTAATTATAAAATATAAAATTAATAATAATTAATGCATACAAAAAAAATCGTCATTGTCGGTATAAAATGTATCTAACAAAAATTATAATAATTAATGCATACAACGAAAAATCGTTAAAATTATAATGTAAGTTAAAATAAGTTAAAATAAAATATTATTAAACGAAGCCAAACTTTTTACAAAACTATATCTATCTATTTGGTTGTTATTATATAATTCGATTTTTTTATTTATAAATTGTATATTATTTTTTAGTTTTCTTCTAATTATCCTACTTTCGTTATTATTGGCAGAATTCATTCTTATATAAGAATCCGTCTGCATAGCTAATAAATGTTTAATGAATACAGCAATATTTGGATGTGCTGATGTAAATAAAAATTTTTATAATGCGGAGTTACGGTGCGTTCGTTTTTTCAACCATGCGGAGATACGGTGCGTTTGTATTTTCGACCGTGCGGAGGTACGGTGCATGCGGAGTTACGGATTCACAAAATATTTTTATTCATGCGGAGCTATGGTGCGTTCGATAATTGATTGTTAATTGTTATTAATATATTTTAATTTTATACAAAATAAACTTACAAGTAGGTTCTTATAAGGTACTAAATAATGTAGGTACTAAATACTATGCAATGTAAATGTATGTATATTGTCCGATGATAAGTACAACTACTAGTGATTGGTCTTCTGTAAGTAGAACTGCGGAGGTTCTTAATTCTCAGACTACGTGAGGTAAACTGGTCTAGGAAATAGAAATGAGAAGGAAATGTTTTTCCATTTCTGTTTTTTGAATATTGCGAAAACAATTTTGTGTACCTGCTTACTGGACATTCTTTAAAAATGTAATTGTAACAAAGGAGTTATATAAAATCGACATGCTGGTACCTATGCTCAGTGGCAAAACGATCCTAAAATACCTACTTAACATATAAGCGAGCCAAAATTGACCTACCAACAACTTATAATAAACACAAGTGGGTACCTACTATTAGCTTTGGTATTAGAAAGTATTCGACGTTAGTAATACTATTTGTCTACTATAATTATTATCTAGTAATTGTTTTTCTCCGTCATATCGAGCACCCATCACCCGCGATCCACCCTAAATACTAAAAAAATCGAGAAGCAACTGCTTTTCAAAGACGATTATGACTGTCCATGCTACACTTCAATCCTCATCACAGCATACGGTACGCAAAACGCAAAATTCAAATAAATTAGCATAAGCTTTAGTGTTTTTTATCTACCTTATACTGATTGTAATTCAAATTTCAAACAGAAGTCGCGAGAGGGTTATTAACTTGTGAGACTTGTCTCACAGCTAAAATATGGTGGTGATCGCTACTGGTCGGTAGCAGTGGCCAGAGGGTAAGTTAAAGTATCTAGTGGCTATTAAAAAATATCGCATAGTTTAGTATTTGTATAGGTACAAATATATGGTATAAATGCAATATATGTTGAACTGTTGAATAATATGGGCACCTTCTATAATATTATTTTATTTATATAAAACAGGCTTGTACCCTCAAACAAAAACATACTACTTATAATCTAATATTATTCTAATATATTATAGGTAGGTATTCTGATTCAAAATTCAATTTTATATTCAAACTATACAATAATAAATTACCAAAACATTTCTGAAATTATCTCATCAAATCTATAGGTTAACCGTTAACTCATTGGCGTATCCAGTACTTCAGCCCCTCCCCTCTCATTAGCCATGTTTTGGTATAAATCTTATATCATAAAAGGCAAAGTAAAAACCATTATATTTCTTATAATGTTTTTGAAGAAACATTTTGCATATTATCAATTGTTTGTAGACGTTATTACGGTTACGGGATATACCTAGTTATCACGACCTTCTTGGATACTTTTATTAAAAATACACAATATTTTGCATCCCAGACATAGACCTAGATTCAATTTTTGTAAAAAAAGAATCTAGATACAGAAACATGGTACAACAATTAGGACTTATAACTTATCTACATACTATATTATCTTAGACACATAGGTCACATTACAATTTAAAATAAGGACACTTTACCATTTTCGTACCTATTTTAAGAAACAATACTAATTAAGTTGATTTTGATAATCATTTTTAAATATTTCACTATTACAATTGTTTTAAACTGATAAATTGCAATTAAATAGTATTCTAAATTTTAAAAAATAATTATTATTTAGAATACTGGATGAGCAAGCTTTGTTGAAATTGAAATATCTATAAATATGAAACTGATAACTAAGCTAACATCACCATTCGATAAAGTGAATAATTTTTATGAGTTAACAGTTCATTTTTATTCATATTTAATGACTTCAAAAATAATTAGAAATTTATTTTTAAGGGTTTTACGAGGTACTACTTATCGATTTAGCACCGATACTGATAGGTTATTAAAATGATAAAATAGAATTCTTTGAATAAGTCATTAAAACAATCGAATATGTTAAATAATATTAAATATAATAAAATCTATAAACGTACTTTTTATATATACACAAGTTTTATTTGGAAACGAAAGGCAGAAAAAAGAGTTTTAAAAGCATACAAAGGAAGCAGAGTGGGTACAGAGCTTTTACTGATTTCCAAAATTATTTAATAATACAGTTTATTTTAAACTAAACGAGAAAAAAATAATGAGGTAATTATTATAAAGTTTTGAATTAATTACAATTTATAGAAGATATTGTATTGTAAATATTATATTATCATTATTATAAACCCCTAGGTTTTGAGTTATTCACTTAATGGAGCTTTATTACGATTGTAAGTTTTTATTTCACATTATTTTCAACTAATTTATAAGTATAAAACGCGTAAAAGAAAATGACAACGATGCCTGCAGGTTGCGTTTCAGGCTTGCGTATTTTATAAATTGCGCGATCGAGTAAGCTTATGAAATGCATATAATCCCTAATATTTTACATACTACTGATTGAGATAATCAGACCCCCGGAAGAGTAAAAAAAAAAAAGGATAAGCACCTAGTTACTTAAATATTGACTGTTCCGATAAAACCTGTGCCATATTATATACAGTGCATTGTATCCCTGCCACTGAGCTAGGGAACACCACTATACCTATTATATACATATAGAGAGGAACTCTAGTTCATCGCAGCTCCGAACAGCATGATGTATTGTAAGATATAAGAAAATTTTTTTAACGGATCGGAATCACAAGTGCTATACAAATGAGGAAAACTACTATATCTTGCATAAGTTATTGAGTAGGTAGATAATCAATTTTAAAATTTTGGCGAGAATTGTATATCTATCAAACATAAATATATTAGTTATAACTAAGTATAGTTGGTGGTAATCTATACAAAAATGTCCTTTTGATTTGCAAGACAAATTTAAAAAATACCTGTATGAGTGGACACAATAAAAATAATGTAGTAGTGGGTACTGGGTAAAGACAATTTGTATTAATAATTAATATTAACTATTTGATTTTTTGTTTAAAAAAAGCGAATATTAATTGTTTATTTTTAAATTATATATCAATGTTCCAAATACATTTTTAGTTATATGTGTACAATAATTTATTTCATCTGTATATTTATCCTATTTTTTTTTCAAAACAACTTTGCGAAGGATAGTTTATTTTAGATAATTTTACCATGATACGCGGAGATTTCTACTTAGATTCATTCTTGGTTACAGTATAAATTATTATGTATGAGTTTATATATATATAACCTATATAAAATAGCCGCCTTCAGTAATAGTTATAAATTAAAAATAAATCCCCAAGTACGAACCTAATTAGGTATATATTTATATCTATTATTGATTTTTGTTTTTAATTATAATTTGTATGTAAATTAATTAGTTTATATACATATAGAATAAAAAATCAAGTAAAACTGTGAACCATACATTTATTAAGCCATATATCTATATTTTATACTGGATTAAGTACTATAAACATA